TGGAGCTATGGCTCAAAATGATAAAGCGTTACCCTTGGAAAAAAGAGCTCAGGAACAGCACTCAAGCCCTAAGTTCAAGCCCCAGAACTGACAAAAAAAGAAAAAGAAAAAAAGGTTCTGTACTACAAAAGAAATAGTTATCAGAGTGAGGAGATAGCTTTTAGAATGGAAGAAAATCTTTGCTAGTTCCCATCTGACAGAGGATTCATACCCAGAATATATAAAGAACTAAAAAAAACTAAGCATTGAAAAAATAATCTGGTCAACATGGACTAAAGAATTGAACAGACAGTTCTCAAAAGAAAAAGTAAAAATGGCCAAGAAATATATGAAGAAATTGTCTCACATTTTTAGCCTCAAACATACAAATAAAAGAGCCGGGTGCTGATGGCTCATGCCTGTAATCCTAGCTACTCAGGGGGCTGAGATCTGAGGATCGAGGTTCAAAGCCAGCCTGGGCAGGAAACTCTGTGAGACTCTTATCGCCAATAAACCACTCAGAAAGCCAGAAGTGGTGCTGTGGCTCAAGTGGCAGAGCACTAGCCTTGAGCTCAAGAGCCGAGGGACAGCCGAGGCCCAGAGTTCAAGCTCCAAGACCAACCCAAAAAACAAAACAAAAAACCCAAAAAACAAAACAAAACAAAACGAGATTGCATCTCACCCCAGTCCGAACAGCTATCATCAAGAAAGCAAAAACAAAGGGCTGGGAAAGGTGGCTCAGTGGTAGAGCACTTGCCTTGCATGCATGAGGCCCTGGGTTTGATTCCTTAGCACCACATAAGCAGAAGAAAAAAAAAGCCGGAAGTGGTGCTGTGGCTCAAGTGGTAGAGTGCTAGCCTTTAGAGCTGAGGGAAGTGCCCAGGCCCAGAGCTAAGGCCCATGACCAGACCCCCCCCCGCCCAAAAAAAAAAAAAAAAGAAAGCAAAAACAAGACATGCTGTTAAGAATATGGGATAAAGGAACTCTACACTGTTGGTAGGATTATAAACTAGTTTAACCACTATGGAAATCAGTATGTGGGTTCACCTAAAAACTAAAAATGGAATTACCATGATCTAGCTATACACTTCTGGGTATAAACCTAAAGTCAGCAAGTCACCATACAACAGAAACAGATGTGTATCCACATTTATTACAACACTATTCATAATAGCCAACTTATGGAATCAGTCTGTGTCCATCAACACATGGTGGTGTATATATACACAACAGCTTTATTCTGCCATAAAGAAGAGAGAAATTATGTCATTTGCAGGAGAAACGATGGAACTAGATATCATGTTAAGTGAAATATACATGCGGTATTCTCTTTTGAAAGACAGAAGCCTATACCACATAGTTTTCTCCTCTATGTTGAATCTAGAGTTAAGAGAAAAAGAGGATATGAATTCAGAAGAAGGTCTATTTGGGAAGAGGAAGAAACTACAGAGTAATGGGGGGGGGGTGAATATGATCAAAGTTCATTATATACATGTTTGAAAATGTCACATTGAAACTCATTTCAAATGTCCTAAAAAAAGACTTTGAATACTAGAAATGCTAGATAAAAGTCAGCTCAAGCCATCTGTAGTTGTTTACTTATGTTATCCCAGATACTTAGGAAGCAGTGAAGAGGAACATCATGGATTGAGGCCAGCCTGGGCAAAAAGTTAGCAAGATCCCATCTCAACAAACAATCTAGATAGTGTTAGGTAATGCTGACATACATCTATAATCTCAGCTATCTGGGAGGAAAAGGTAGCAGGATTATAGTCCAAGGCTAGCCTAGTTAAGACTCTATTTGAAAAATAAATAAAAGGAATGTTTCAGTGGTAGAGTGCTTGCCTAGGAAGCAAATGGCTTTGAATTCAAACCCAGTGCCCCCTAAAAGAAAGAAAGGGGAAAAAAAACCTCCAGGGTTCCTAGCCACTGCATCATCACCTGGATCAGTCTTCCTGCCATTCACTCTTGGTCTGGGCATTACCCTCCATCCATAACACCAGCCGCATGTGCCATCTTTCTGCAAGCCCTTCACCTAGCCTGTCTGCTTATTGTTCTAGTTTATGCACATGCTATTCTCTTTTTCTGGAACACCTTTCTGAACACTTTGCATCTGGCAAACCTATGCACATCCTTCTAGATTCAGCTACCTGCCATCTGTAAGGCTTCTCTGGTCTCCCCCAGGCAGAGAATGTACTATGTTTTGCAATTCCTCTTTTCTTTCCAAGACAATGTAAAGAAGTCTCAAAGAGCAAGCCACTCCTTCCACCCTCTCTAATCTTCTGCATTCCTCCATAGCATCAACCAGACAGCATCCTGTATCCTGGTTGCTTCTCTAGTGTATCTCCCACTTCCAGATCACAGAACTCCTAAGAACAAAAACAAGGTCTTTCCCTGTCTCCCTAACTAGCATCTGACACACAACAGGCACCTTAAATCTGTAGATGACCTGTTTTTATACTTCCTGTATCACATAAATCATTTTATACAATACTTGGCAGACTTCCAGCTAAACATTTTACTTTAAAATGTCACAGGCACCTAAGTATTTAAATATAAAGGAAATAATCAGCACACTCAGTAGCTGCCCAGGTTATCAAAACTGCTTGGCTACTCATACTACTATGGTCAGAGGCCAAAGAACCTAAGTGCTTATAAAGAAGAGAAACATGAAAACTTCTGAGATAGTATAATTAATTTATATTTTTAAGAAGCGTTCCCTTTTAGTAAACCCTTCACCAGATCAGGAATGGAAGAAGAAACTATCTTTGTGCCCATACAGTTTGGTAAATAGGTATCTAGGCATCTTGTCTTTCAAAAGAGAAGAAATTGAGAGGTTATGATCACACTTGTGGTCTGACATATTCCAGGCTCTCATAAATCAGCCTGGTCCTGCTGGGGTCACTGTGAATGCATCTTCCACAACCCCATTCAAGCAGGTATCCCTATAGAGAAGGGCTAGAGAAATGAAAGAACAGCAGGTGGCCCCTCTGATAACTTGGACCCTGGATAGCACAACCATGACATGGGGCCTGCTACAGTACCTAGACACACTCCAAACTGGTGTGAGGGGGGCAGAAATAGCCATGTCTAACTGTAACTGAGAGCCCTGCTACTACCAGCACTGTGCCAAGCCCCTCTTGATCTTTTTGTTTGTGGTAGTTCTAGGGTTTGAACTGAAGGTCTCACACTCAGTTTGCTTGTTTGGCCGGCACTCACTTGAGTCACACTTCCAGCTCAAGTCTCTTGATTTTTTTCCCTACCTTTCCGTCCTCAGCTTTTCTGCTCAGTACAGATCACTTCAGTGCCCAGCTCCCTCACTCCTACTGCCTCAATTCTACAAACCCTGTGGCCAGCCTCACAATGTGCCCTTCCTCGCTCTCATTTTTTGTCAGTTCTTTCCTATGCCATTCAGATACAATCTACCTGACTCTTCTCAACCTTTCTCAGCAGAAAAGCTCAGGTCTTCTTCACAGAGAGACTGAGACTGTCAGTCTCAACCCCTTCTCAGCACCCTTCAACTATTTTCCTTCAATTCACATCTTCCAACTCTGCTCTCCAACTTTACATGTATACTCTGGTGCCTCTATCCAAAGCCTAGATCTTCCCTGTGAGCTCCCTGTTTGGCTGGTCTTTGATCATGAGCTAGAACACAATGCTAGAGTTGTCTTTCTTACTCACAGGTACCATTCTTTTCCCCAATCTTTCCTTCTCCCTCACTTGTCATACAGGTTTCTCAAAATGGTTTGTGCCTCTCACTTTTCCCCACTTCCTTCCTTTATTTCTGAATCACAAGATAGTGCATTCACTGTACTAATGTTAGGAGATACCAAACCAAAGCATGACAATGCAAACTTTGTGAGGCCCAGTCCTTAAGAATGATAACATGCTGATACAAAGCCTTTGTTTTAATTCTTCACACACATAACCATACTCAGGGGAAAGTGTACATATTTTTTTTAAAATAAACAACAACCAGATCCTTAATAAAACCCTTTCTAGATCCTTTCTCAGCTAGCTCCTTATCATTGGTTCCTTACCACTATCCCTCTGCTTTCTTCTCTTCCATGGCACTGTTTCCTGAGGGATCTCTTCTCTCTGGGTTTGTACTATTGTGTATACATAAGTCCTTCCCATATCTGCACTCCTAACCCAGCCACTGCTTGGAATAAGACCCCCCTTCTATGAGGATACCTTAACTTGGGCATCCATGGATTCCTCAAATATCACATGGAGAAGACAAGAGTCCAGCATTCCCCTTCCCCACCCCACCCCAACTTGCTCCTGTGTTGATATTTTTTTTCTCTGATAAGAGCAGTATCTTTTCCCTGTTAAAAGCAGTATCTTTTCCCCAGTCAAATAAGCTAATCACATAACTTCTTTAAAACTTCCTAAAAAACAACGTACCACATCCTTACCACCTTCCATCTCCACCTCTATTTGTTGAGATTCTTCCATTTTCCTTGCCCTACTACATCCAGTCAGTGCCAGAGTCCTGAATGCAGATCTTACATTTCAAATCTCTCTCCAATATGGACACTTGTCTCTTTTCCTCTCATGATACAGTTTAATAGTCTCCCAAATGGTCTTGATTTGCTCTGTGAAGAAGGCTTGAATTCCAGAGTTCTGGAGGTGGAAGTAATTCTGGATAAGACCTCTGTTACAGTTTGGACTTTTATAGTTTGGACCTGGTTTGAGTGTCCCACAATCAGTTTATGTGTTCAGAGCTTGGTCCCCAGTATGGCAGTGTTGAAAGGTGGTGGGAGTTTCAAGAGGTATGGCCAATACTGGTCTTCCCTCTACCCTGGCTTCCTGTCTAGCCATGTGATCTCTCCCTTGCCCATAACTCCTGCCACTGTTGTATCATCTATCAGGAAGTAATGTAGACAAATGGTAGATAGAGGCTTGTCTGAGATGATACTATGCCTTTGGACATTCAATCTCCAGAACTAGGTTAACAAACCAGCTTCAGGTATTTCATTGCAGTAACTAAAAAAACAAGCTAATACAACTTATTTTTTTTAAATATGGAACACTTCTGAAATTTGTGTGTAATCTTTGTGTAAGGGCAGTACTAATCTTCACTGTATCCTTCCAGTTTTAGTATGTGTGCTGCTGAAGTTTCACCTTCATCTTTGTTCTCCAGACTTCTGTTTCTTCTTACTAAACTCCACTCAATGTTTATCTGCAACCCCATTCATTTAAAGGCATGTTGTCTTTACCTTCCAAATAATAGATGAGCTGGATTCAGTACATAATTAGACTTTTGCCTCCTCTATGGATAAAAGAGGGTCCAAATACTTTCAGTGGAACTAAAAAAATCTTTAATAAAGACTGTATCCTCAAGTCAAGCATGATGCACATGACTGTAATTCCAGAGTTCAGAAATGGAGGCAGGAGGACTACATTTGAGGCACACCTGGAATATATAGTAAAACTGTCTCAAAAAAATAAAGCATATACAGAAAAACAATAACTAAGCCAAAAAGTTCCATCACGACTGGACCCTCTGTGGTCAGTCTAGGAATGAAGGGTGATTTTTAGCTGCTAAGTAGAAGCTGACCTCTGTAACCCTACCTCCAAGGGAACAGTAAAGCTAATGGGGAGGTAGTTTCTTCCATTTTGTATACTTTGCCTTTCCCTACTTCTGGCTGTATGATAGCTGGAGAGGTAAGGAGAAGGACTTTAATATACTGGGGTGGTTGTAAAACTATCAGATGTCACCTAGCACTAGGCTGAAGACATTGGTTGCCCTCATTCTTCTGGGATGCAGTGAGACCCCATAGTATTAGGAAACTCTCTGGAGATTCTTTGAGCAATTACTCAAAACCTCATGGGAGAAGGACCTTGGTACTGATAATGATCCTTGCGTTGGCCTCATTCTCCCTCACCCAGAGTATTCAGGTGATTTTCTACTTTGATGGAAAGAGAGCTCTTAGGGAAAGCCAGGCTTCTTAGCCTGCCATTCCAGGCCTTTCCCTAACTTTACTTCTTGGCTCCCCTTGCAACTCACACCCTAGCACTTCCAAGCTACATATAGCTCCTTGAACACAACGTTTCTAGTCTCCACCTGGAACATAAACACTTTCCAGTGAAACAGAGAAACACTGTTCACAGATTGATTATTGTGTAACACCTACCAGTCCTTGCAGAAAATGCCTTCTATTACCAAGCCAGGGAGATGAAACTTCATTGGGAATGGTACTTCTGTAACCCAGGGCAACCCAGTGTATTGTGAAATGTTTGCTCCTTAGGGAAGATCAGAATTCATCTCATCTTTGCATTCTAGCACCTTGCACATTACTGGTACTCAATAAATGCTAATTAGGTGGAGTCTTGATAGTACTTTTGGAAGTGGAAAAGGAAAGGAGCTTGAAGGATGCCTCCAGGCCAAGTCCAAAGTTGGGTCAAGAGAAAGCCTAAAAGCTGGCTGTGGAAAGAAGGGTCAGATAACAGGACTTTGACTTTCTAAGCATTCTGGACCAAACCTTGGGAGAATTGAGAGAAGTGATCATTTGGGTCAATACACCACTGCCCAAGACAGCTGGGTGGGGGTACCAACAAGACTATAAAATCTTACATTAGCCTCAGAGAGCAGAAACATCTGCAAAAGCCACAGCGGGCAGGCTGGCCAAGTTCAGCAGCGGGTTAGCCAGGAGAGCCCTGTGACCAACCGAAAGGGCCACAGAGGGGGAGAATCAATCATCTAAGAAGAAGGAGCAGGAAGGATGAGCAGTCAAACTGAGGCTAGACACCTACAACCCACCTAGCGCTCTCTACTAGTTTGGGGGCCACAGGGCCCCTCTGTCCCTTTCAGCCCAAGCCCTGGCTGGCTTCCCACTCAAACTCCCTCAACATCCTTTGGGCCCACCCACCTAGCTATGAAGCCTGACAACTTCTCTCTGAGGACTTTGAGGTTTTAACACCAACTTATGCTCAGCTAGCTCCCTACTTACACACTGAAACAACTTAAAGGAAATAGGTAATTCATCTGCCCGCCAACATCTCTGTTTAAAGAGTTTTCTTTTTCATATCAACACTTCTATGGGTTCAGAATTTGATCAACTCTTTGCTACACAGTTTGACATTAACAAAACATCAACATTCTGACAACCTGCTGGTGTCAGAGAGGAACATCTTAAAACTTTTTGGACTCTCCATGAAGACAGGCTTCCAATTCCAATCTTTGATCTCTCTATATAAAGCAGTACCAATAAAATAGCGTAGAGATTTATGGGCGAACTTTCATTTGAGCTGTTTTACACCTAAAATAACATGAGTGCTTCGGTCACTAGGCTGAAAATTTAGGTTTAGATTTCAACTGTTTAGGTTTTCTGTTAGTTTTAAAACCGAATTCACTTATTAAAAATTTACCTTGAAAATTAAAATTACATTGTATTTCTCTCTCTCTCAGAAAATGTCTGACAGATATTAACTATGCAGATATCCTGTCCTCTGAGAAAAGTTGGGTAGATAGATGTCTCCTGTCCTTAAACAACCATCTTTTGACCAAAAAAAAGAGTGTTTTGTTTTCTCATGATTTCAATGGACACTATTTAATTTTTTATCTTTCAGCCTGAGCATCACCCTTGATAGCAAGTTACCAAGTACTTATTATTGTGGGTAAAATCTCAGCAAAAAGAATTTCATTTAAAAGTCAGTGAGATGAGATTTGGACCAAGATTGGTTTCATTGTATATTGTCTGGCTCTATGGGATCATTCCCAAAACCAAGCTTAGATTGTAATTCTGACCATCAGTCACTCATAGGTCAATGCCTGGATGAAAAGAAGTCAGAGCCATACTCCCTATAGATGGGAAATCAACCAGAACTCCTATCCACCTCCACCCTCCTTTCCCGGGGTGATGAATTTGGGAAAAATGATTCTGCCAAATGAGAAAGCAGAGACTCTGGAGAGGGGAAAGGCAGCTTATCCAGCTTTTAAGAAGATCTTTATAGGCAAAGTAAAGTGAAAACAGCAGAAAAGTTCCTGGACACAGTCCTTTAAGAAACAAAAACGAGTAGGAGGAAAGGTCGGAGCAGTGGTTCAAAGGCATCAGAATGCACAGCTGCTGCTGTCCAAGGTTGTGGGTCAGTGCTGAGCACCCTGCCAAACCTGAAGCAGGGCCTAACAGCAGAGGTTCTCAGACCTTTCCTCTTCACAGCTCCCTACCTCCAAAACTTAGCAGCAGAGTTCCAATGGCAGTCCCAAAGAGAGACTCAAGAACTGTGATGATCACAAAACCAAAAAAGAACAGAGAAGAAACTATGCTTAGTTATTTAACCCAATTTCTGATTTTGAAACAGAATTCCTAGTTAGAAAGGGAAAATGCAGCAGCTGGATAGAGAAAAACACCTGCTTAAAAGAAAAATCTCTAATGGTTTCTAAAATTCTTAGCTAAACTTGAAGAACAGAGTTAAACTTTTCCCAATAGGGAGAAAAGCTTCATATTTATTCACTTGATGTGAGCTTTAAAGTTTAAAGGGATTACGTCAAAGTGTGAGAGATTGCTTCAATTGTGCTCTTGATCATAATATTACAGTTTTTGTAGATAAAAGGAATCTGGAGACTCATCTTCCTTCATGAAGAGGTCTGGGCCAGGCAAAGGCTAGGTTTGGCCAACAGCATTTTGAGGCAAAGTGTAAATGGGATGATTCCACCCTGAGGTCACATTATGTGGAGTCAAGTGCAAGTGTCAGAACCATGTTCTCAGGAGGGCCAACCTCTCTAAGAAGGAGGACCTAGATGGGATGGTCAAAAGAGCAAAAATGGATTCGAAATCACCTCCCCTAAAGCCTCAATTTTTTTTAAAATTTTATTTTTAAATATACCATATATGCAGAGAAGTACATGGGTTATAAATAAGAGGCTAGACATGTTTTTACAAACTGAACACTCCTAGTCAGAATCCAGACTAACTCTCATGGGCAGCCCCTCTGCTTGAGCCCTGCTTCCTTCCATAGGTCACCATACTGAATTCTAATAGAATCAATCACCTTTGCCTATTTTTGAACTTGCATAAATGGAATCGTGTAATGTGTGCTCTTGGGTCTGGTTTCTCTCACCATTATGAGAATGTGTGAGCTGTTATTCATTCATTCTTGTTTTTTAACCTCCCACTTGGTGAACATATTGTAATCTATTCATTTTACAGGAATGGGTATTAAGTAGTTTTCCATTTCTAGCTATTTTGAATAGTGCTCCAATGAACATTCTCATGTATTTTTTGTTATACACATACATAATACATGTTTGTACCTGGTACATCTCTAAAGCTTCTGGGCCAGAAAGTATGTATACATTCAGCTTTAGAAGATACTGTGAAGCAGTTTTCCAAAGTTATGGTACCAAGTTCCCTTTCCCCAGCTGTGACAGTCTTACATCATAAGCCTTTCTGTCTTGCTATTTTAGTCATGCTGTTGGGTATGCATTTTATGCATCTTTGAGGTTGAAGCTATTTTCCCTATCTTTCTAACATCTTTCCCAGCAAAGTTAATGCAAGTTAGTTATGGTATGATCAAATGTCATAGACTAAAAGATATTTGTTTTGGGCTCCTTATCTTATTTTGTCCAAGTAAGTATGGCAGAGCTGGAGGAATATAGAAGAATTATAAGGGCGAGGTAAGCAGGCGAGGATTTAATGACTGAAGATCTATGGAACAAGTTCTTGTACTAGCAGAAGGTATGTGTAAATTTACAAACAGCAAACAGTGTCTTCTGTGTAGATGTCCTCAGGGAGACTTAGAACTGACTGTGTAGTCTTTTTCCCCTTCTCAGCCTGCCAGAAAATCTTGGGTCCTCCTAGATAACTAAGATTTCTTAGGTAGCTGGCTAATCTATTAGACAGGGAAGCTATAGTCACTATGAATGATGACATTGATATAAGTAAAGGAGTGCAGGAAACTGTAGACAAGGAATGCTGTCAGTAGAATAGGGTTGTATACAAAAGGTAATTCTAATACCAGGTTAGTAGGCCCCTTTATGTTTATGTGTAAAGATTAGGAGAATAAAAATATTAAAAATACAAAGAAACAAGCAAAAACAAACAAGATGAAAGCTGTTGTTGAAGTACTGTGCTCCAGAAGAGCCATTAATATACACAATGACAGACTGTGAGGGCTTAGAATTTGTGGCCATGGAGGACATCATATCAGGGAAGAAGCTTGGTATGCTGTGTTCAAAGACTGGTGGATCAGAAATGTGTGCTTAATTCCCTTTAGCTCCTGTACCTACTACAGATTGAACACAGATGCCAGAAATATTGTGAGCAATAGAGACAAATGCACTGCATTTAGCTTTAAGAAGGGCACAGGAGTCAACTAAGAAGATGGTCTGCTTAGTACAAAAACTGGTAGAGAACAGCTGAAGTTCTAATCATCTAGCTAATCAATGTTCATTCCCATTGGATGGTCCCTAAAGGTTCTGGCTCTTTTATAATTTCTTCACTGTGAACAGAGGTCATCTAATGTCCCGGCCACTCCAATTCTCGAACCTGGGCGTGAATAACTATGCAGCTCCCAATTCAGAATTTTCTCTTTCATGTGTCATAGGTGCTGCAAGGTATGATTGCAGTGGGAAGTGTCCTAACTTTATGCACCAGAAAAAGGCACAGAAGATGATGGGTTCTTAAAAGTCTAGTAGTCCTGATACGGGTTCCATAGGAAAGAGGAAGAGGCCAAGAAACCCCTAATGTAAACTGAGGTCTGTTGATAGACAGCTTTGGTTTCAGGTATAAGAAGAAAGTATGGGGCTGGGAAGGTGGCTCAGTGGTAGAGCGCTTGCCTTGCATGCCTGAGACCCTGGGTTCGATTCCCCAGCACCACATAAGCAAAAAGAATAAAGCCGGAAGTGGCGCTGTGGCTCAAGTGGTAGAGCGCTAGCCTTGAGCTGAAGAGCTGAGGGACAGCGCCCAGGCCCAGAGTTCAGGCCCCATGACTGGACCCCCCCCCCCCCAAAAAAAGAAGAAAGTATGCTTGCCACAGCTATAAGCTGTAGGCCCCAGGCCAGTTATGTACTTGGAATCTCAGTCAAGGGTGTGAGAGTGAGTGGCGAGTAGGAAGATAGTGCCCAGGGAATCCAGAAAGCAGAATGGACATGAAGCAGTCAATGATAATATCATAGCATTAGTGGGGAACAAACAGAAGGCAAAACACTAGTTTGTAAAATGGTCCGTTATCCCCGTATGCTGCCAGAATGAAACTCAGCCTTTCTATGGCCGGGGTTCAAGAATGAGAACATAGGGATAGCTTTGGTGGCACGCTAAGGGTGGGATATTTCCAGGCTGAGCAGTACATAGCACCCTTGAAGCCTACAATAACAGCATGTATACAACACATCTGCAATAGGGCAATCTATTCTGGGGAGCAGCAGGAAGTTGAGATGCAGGTAGTCAAGAGAACAAGTTTCTGAAAGGAGTTAAGAAAGGAAGGGAAGATTATCTTGTAGACATACCAAAAATGCTCAGGCCAAGGTCTATAGGCTAATAAGGCACAGAGCTCGGAGAACCCTCCTTTCACGGCCTCCCCAGGTTCTCTATGTGGGTGGTTTCCTCATAGCTACAGCTTGGTACTCCATTAACTGTTCCATGTAATGGAGGTAGACAAAGAGAATCTTCTCAGGAGTTGGAGAGTCAGTAGCCAAAACACAACAGACTACCAAGACATGATATTTGTGAGGGTAGAGAACAAAGTAGTATTTCCTCTGCCAGCAGGGTATGCACAAAGACATGCTAGCAGTGGGAGCCACCAGCCAAATTAGGCATAGGAGAAAGACTGGGAGCTGTTCCCTGGGTGACGATATTTGGAAGTTCCCAGAATAGTGATAGCTTGGAACCTGGACTGGCCTCTGGTTCCTGAGAAATTGAGCCAAGAAAATGGCATTCAGCTTTCAGAGCACCTTGGAATGTAGGGTGGGTAGTGAGATATACTTCTCACCCTGGTACGGTCAATGAGAAAATACCAGAAGTCAGGTACTAGGGCACAGAGCTAGGGAGGGAGGAGGAAAGGTTTGAGCCAGGCTATCTAGAAATCCACATTTAACTATTGAGTTCACAGAATCCAGGTAGAAAGTAAAAGTCAAGACAACAAAAAATGTAAGGTGAACTAAGTGAGCAGACAGATAGTGTTAGAAAGCATGAAAGAAAGGCAGAAGAATTTGTAAGCTGCAACAACGGCAGAGTGGTAGAAATAACCACGTGTGTTCTTGTATTCACTAAATCCAGAGCCTTCTGCAATGTCTGGCAGGACCTGGTACTTTATAAATACTTGTTAAAGGGATGGATTCTCATGGTTACAGCTACAGTACAGAATGGAAATCTGAAGATGGTCTAGTCAATTCCATCTTTCACAGGGGAGTAGGGAGAAGTCTGTGAACACTGACTTAGCAGAACAGTGGAGTTGGGTCTAGAGCAAAAAGCTTCAGTTCCTCCTGGTTACCTTGTTTCTCCAAACTGCACAAACACTGATGACTAGTGTGGGCTGAATTTCTTGGGCCCTGCTTTAGAATAACCATTTGAAAGCATTTTCCCTCATTTCTTTCTGAAGTTGATCGCTGTTGGAGATACTTATATGGCAGAGCCACACCAAGGTGAGGCCAGAGAGGAAAACTTGTGTCTTCTGGCCTTTTAGGAAATGTGTCATGACACTCTCCCAGGATAAGCACTTTTCTTCAGACATTATTAGGTACAAGAAAAGATTCACATAAGACTATTCTTCATATATATTTTTTAAGGAAAGGGAGAAGTAAAAAAAAAAAAAAGAAAGAAAGAAAAGGGAGAAGTAAAGGAAAAGCAGGGAAAAACACTAAATGAAAGCATACTTTTAAATCTAAGAAACTGGAGACTCATTTTTACCTTCTGAACCAAGTAGACACTTGTAGTTCTCTCAGCAGCCACCTTATCCAGGCTGGATCCCTCAGGAATGAAATAACTCACATCAGCAATATGGACGCCCACTTCGAAGGTGCCTGTAAATGTACAAGAAGAATCATCAGGCTGCGGGAGGGGGGGGGGAGGGGGGGGGGAGGCAGGGCTGGAGGGGAAGGTCAGGTAACTCCTATATGAATACATGTCCTTTCCACAGGCATGGCCTTGAAATATGAGTGGTGGTTCCAGACACTTCTCCTAAGCCCTGTGACCAACACTAGTGTCACTTTCCTAATCATGAGTTAGAAACCTATGATTTACCCTTGAACATATTATAAATCATCTATCAGTTATGAAATACATGAACACAAACACATATGCATATGTATGCACATATATACCTATGTACTTATATATATGTGCATATGAAAATACACAAAATGAACAGACTATAAAAATATGTAAGTAAAATAAGCACATAGTTTGAAGACAGCATCAAAGACAGACAGACAAGTTGAAGATACATGTACAGGGCTGAAGTTTCTTGAACTAAAGAATAATACACTTGATACAATTCTACTAAGTCCCACCCTATCGACAATGACTGGCCTTGGCATAGGAAGAGTCTTTGTCCTGAGATTCCAGATACTAAGAGCACCAGAAGTCTTGAACTGCCAGGAAATACCTTTGCCACATATTCAAGCCAATTAAAAATAAAATCTATAGAGAGATTCAAAATGGCCTCATTCAGCTGAAGTTGATCTGGTCTACCCGAGGGCTCACTGTGAGTCCTGATGGACAGACAGTTGGATTTGTAGACCTTATTCACAAATCCCCATGTGCATCTTTGCAGATCTGGAAGATCAATCCTAAAGAACCAGACATCTTATCTGCAGGATTTTAGATCTTTACTATCATCCTAGTCCTTTTCACTGGGGGATAATTCTTTCAGTTTTTCAAACATGGAGTGTGGCTATGGGGCCCTGGGAAAGAAAAGAATTTAATATTTCCTATTCTTAATCTGCTCTGAACTCAGAGATACTCCTACAGGGCATTTTTTCCAGTTCTTCTGTCCAATCTTATACCTTTTATACATTAGGGAAAACTAAAGTCGTTTAAGAGAGTAGCTTCTGCTACAGAGTAATAATGCCTTGGACTTGACTCCTGCAGGGGAAGGGCTGTCTGGGGATCTGGGAGAAACCAGCCTGTCTCTCCATTCAGTGACCTCACTCTCACAGGGAGGCAGCTGTGTCACTGGGTCTCTGGGAAGAGTGAACTTGCCCACAATGATCGAGGAACTTGACCCCAACCAACTGTGGCCAGAAATCACAGAGAGCTCAGCTTCTAGTTTTGATATTTCAAGTATCAAAAAACAACACTTGGGAAAGGTAAAATAAAGTATCTTCTTTTGAAGTCAAGACTATAATATATTGACCTTGCAGGTAAATATTGACTAAAGGAAAAGAGAGAAAGGATTATTACATCATGCTATAAACCATAATTTAAAATCTGGATTCTGTGTTGTTACTACACATGAACTTTCTGTCCTTAGTGAAAATTGACAAACTGACAAAGAGTTCATTACAGGAGATAAAACACGAAAAAGGCCAATCAAAACATATTCGAGAGGCTTGAATTTCATTCAGAATTCCCAGCAGAGCCTCTAAAACCAGCAAAGAGACACTCTCTTATTTTCTGCTTTGGACATTTTTATGGAAACCCTAAGTAAATATTTTATTACATATATTTACATAATGTGAACTTGCAGAACTCATAAGGCAGGGGCACAGAAGCTTTTATTCTATGAAAGAGAATAATATATCTTCAAAAGGTTATAAGGCATATGCTGTCTAAACATTTAGTACCAACATAATATTAAAAAGAATACTCTCCCTTCATTTCTATTAAAGGAATAGAAACTACTAGCTGATGGACTTTCTCTGTGGGAAACAAATCCATTGCATCAAAGTAATACAAAACTACACCTTTATAGTTGAGTTTTTTCCATCTGCTGGACTACAGGGAATCTTGGGAGTCCTGAGGCAGTGGGAGCAGAGGGGAAGAATCTCCAAAGCTTCCGTGGCTGCCTCACTTTGCACAGGGGTCATGACTTAGCAGAATACAAATTTCTGTTTGAATGAACTTGTTTCACCCAATTAATATTCTGGAAAACATCCCTTCAAAGCCAGCCACTCTAATGAGAATAGCCACTTCCTAACTGTCACTGATAGCTGGCCACTAACATATCCTCTACTTATGAAGCACTCTGGTTATGAGGAAGTGCTTTCTTGCATTCATGATACATGAAAGGACACTCTGGTTGATGACAGCACTGGAAAGTAGTAATCACTCTCCTTAAGGAACTGTCTATTGTGTTTGGCATATTCACTCATGAGGTGACAATGACATATGATAGTGAAAAGTAAAAAAGTACATAGGAGTAAGTTAGATGGCAATCAGGCAGAACATGACAAAGTATTGTCTAATATACAACAATTATATCAATGAAGTAATGTCAATTATTCTTATGAAAATGCTAATCTTATAAAAATGTAGTACTGGTGGCTCATGCCTGTAATCCTAGCTACTCAGGACACTGAGATCTGAGGATCACAGTTTGAAGCTAGTAGGGGCAGAAAAGTCCCCAGGAGACACTTATCTCCAATTAACCACTCAGGAACTGGAAGTAGCATTGTGGCATAAGTGGTAGAGCACTAGCCTTGAGCACAAAGAGGCTCAGGGACAGTGGTAAGGCCTTGAGTACAAGCCCCACAACTGGAAAAAAAAAATGCTAATCCTTGTTAAGTCTATCCTCTGTGTCAGGGACTCCACAGGCAAGTCAATTTTGACAACAGCTGCACAAAACACTTGAGGTTCAGAATGGATCAATTCACTTGTCCAAACCAATCCAACTAGTATGTGATAAATTCCAAACCAAGTTGAATCGTGAGCTTTTGCTCTTTTATCACCTCTACCCCAGTCACTTCCAGGGCCAGATGATACAACCCAATGTTTTGTCTCAGGCTACTGCTCAAAATCCCTCCCTATCTCTCATGGCTTAATAGATGCCACATTCTTAGCTTTGGATTCAGAAGTTCTTTTCCTAGGCTTGTTTATAGTCACACCCCTGTCCCTAAGGCTCTTTAAGTTCCTACCGCAAACCTCCTTAACCACGTGTAGCCATGCCTGATTACAGAATCACCACTAAGCCATTAACTCCAGGTCTCTTTAATTAGAAGAGTAAGTCCTTAAAATCCTAGCAGTTCCTTTCTAAATCTCTAGCTTACAGTCAGCTTTAGCTAGGAACAGAATGACTATCTTAATGACTCAAAAGGCTGTGCCACGGTGAGGACTAACAGAGTTGCTACCTATTGTGACTAACAGAGTTGCTACCTATTGTGGGATAGTGTTGCATAGCAAACTTCCCAAGGAGGCCAAGGTGGTTGAGGCCAGGCCCGTCCAGACTTGGGTTCCTTGAGCCTACCTTTACCTACTATGAATGGATAGTACTGATCACACAGCACTTCTTAACTCAAATAGGACCCTCCTTACAGAAAACAGTAGTATATTCCCCGTGTAATTAAGTCTAAGCACTACAGAAATGGAAACATGGAGTTTCTTCAAAAAATTAAAAATAGAATACTCATATGATCCAGGCACATTACTTTTTGGTCTATATCCCTCAAAATCAAAGTCTGCTTACTGTAGAGATATGTGTATATCCATGTTTATTGAAGCACTATTCACAATAGCCAAATTATGGAATCAGCCTAGGTAGTCAGTAGATAAATGAACAAAAAAATGTGGTATATATACACAGTGGAGTTTTACTCAGCCATTAAGAATAAAATGATGTCATTTACCCAAAAAATGTATTAAACTGAAAAGCATCATATTAAGTAAATAAGCCAGTCCTACAAAGACAAGTACTACATGTTTTCTTTCATTCTAGCCTCACATTAGAGTGGCAGTTGAAGCCTGGTGATTTTCCCCTTTTGGAACCTTTTCTTCTCTTTTGGTGCCAGCCGTCTGGTGTCTGCCCTCTGTGGCCACTCCTTCTCATTCCTCTTCCTTTGCTTGCCTCTCATGCTGGCGCACCTGGCCTCTGTGTTCCTACTTTCTCTACTTCAAGCATCATTTCTGGGTTTTGAACTCTTGATTCCCTCACCCAGACCACTCAGAGCTATAGGCTTACATATGCACACATCTACTACAAAGTCAGTCACACATGCCCTCTTAATCCATCACCATCTACAAAACAATTACTTTCATGTTCCAGACCAAGGAAACGGGACCACCCCCACTAAACCAACACTGTACTGACCAAAAGAAACCCAAGACCCTTTCAGGCCTCTGTTCACCAGTCACACCAAACTCTACCTTCTATACTTCTTACAACCATACATTTCTTCCTTCTTACCATCATCACCTTGACCAAGGCAAGCATCATTTAAAGAGGAGTTCATGACCTCCTCATTGTTTTCCCTAACATTTTTCAGGTCCATTTTCCATACTGCCTATAATGCTCTTTTCAAAACACATTAGCCTGTTTTCCCCAAGTCCCTTCATTTCATTCTGCCCATGCTACCCTCTGTTCACTGTCCTGCCACTACTAGGTAAAGAGGGTGATATCAACAAAGTTCTTCCTCAGCTGATTTTCCCTAGCATTTTTAACCCTCCTGGCTCTTCCCTCTTCAACACCACCCAACCCCAGTCACTGTGTTGGACCTCTTCAGCACAGCCCCCAGGCCAGGGGCTCTGCTGTTCTTTCTCTGCTGGGCCTATGCTCAATCTCCTTCTGTACTTCCTTTTTTTTTTTTTTTTCGTCAGTTACAGGACTTGAACTCTGGGTCTGGGCACTGTCCCTCAGCTCTTCAGCTCAAGGCTAGCGCTCTACTACTTGAGCCACAGCACTACTTCCAGGTTTTTTTGAGTGGTTTATTGGAGATAAGAGTCTCACGGACTGTCCTGCCCAGGCTGGCTTTGAACTGTGATCCTCAGATCCCAGCCTCCTGATACCTCAGTACCAGTTACCACATGCTGATCATAAGATCCTCTACTTTTTATTCAGTCTGAAGGACATGGAAAAGGCCCAAGGCAT